ACAAAGCTAGATAAAAACAGATTAGTCTCCTACAGGATATGAAATTGTAACATCTGAGCTTATCTTTTCTTTCCTTCTTTCTTTCTTTTATTTATTTATTTTTAATTTCAGCATATTATCGGGGTACAGATTTTAAGGTTTCAATAAATGCCCATTCCCCCCTCCCCCTACAAGTCTGAGTCTCCAGCATGCATCCCACAGATGGTGCACATCTCACTCATTATGTATGTATATACCCGCCCCCTCCCACCTGCCCAATACCCTATTACTGTAGTACCTATGTGTCCACTTAGGTGCTGCTCAGTTAATACCAGTTTGCTGGTGAGTATATGTGGTGCTTGTTTTTCCATTCTTGGGATACTTCACTTAGTAGTATGGGTTCCAGCTCTAACCAGGAAAATATAAGATGTGCTATATCACCATTGTTTCTTAGAGCTGAATGTACTCCATGGTATACATATACCACATTTATTAATCCATTCTTGGATTGATGGGCACTTGGGCTGTTTCCACAGCCTTGCAATTATGAATTGTGCTCCATGAACATTCGGATGCAGGTGTCTTTTTTGTAGAGTGTCATTGGATCTTTTGGGTAGATGCCCAGCAATGGGATTGCTGGATCAAATGGTAGATTCACTTGTATCACTTTAAGGTATCTCCATATTGCTTTCCACAGAGTTGAACTAGTTTGCAGTCCCACCAGCAGTGTGGGATGTGTCCTCTCTCTCCGCATCCAGGCCAGCATTTATTGTTTGGAGACTTTTTGATAAAGGCCATTCTCACTGGAGTTAAGTGATATCTCATTGTGTTTTGATTTGCATTCCCTGATGATTAGAGATGTTGCAGTTTTTTCATATGTTTGTTGGCCATTCTTCTGTCTTCTTTAGAAAAGTTTCTGTTCAAGTCCTTTGCACTTTTTAAATGGTTATTGGATTTTTTCTTGCTGATTTTCATGAGTTCTAAGTATATTCTAGTTATCAGCCCTTATCTGATGCGTAGGATGCAAAATTTCTCCCATTCTGTAGGTTGTCTGTTTACTTTCATGACTATTTCTTTGGCTGTGGAAGCTTGTAGTTTGATCATGTCCCATTTATTTATTTTTGTTGCTGCTGTGATTGCCTTTGGGGACTTCTTCATAAACTCTTTGCCCAGGCTGATGTCTAGGAGAGTGTTTCCAACATTTTCCTCTAGATTTCTAATAGTTTCATACCTTAGATTTTAGTCCTGTTATCCAGCGTGAGTTGATTTTTGTAGAAGTGAAAGGTGTGGGTCCTGCTTTAGCTTCTACAAGTGGCTATCCAGTTTCCCAGCACCTTATTGAAAAGGATTCTTTTCCCCAGCGTATGTTTTTGTCTGCTTTGTCAAAGATAGATGGCTATATGAGGATGGTTTTATATAAAGATTCTCACATCTGTTCCACTGGTCAATATTCCTATTTTTGTGCCAATACCATATTGATTTAATTACTACAGCTTTGTATATAGTTTGATATCTGGCATATTAATGCCTCCCATTTTGTTTTTGTGCTAGAATTGCTTTTGATATTCGGGGTCTTCTTTGGTTCCATACGAAGCGTAAAATTATTTTTTCAATATCTGTGAAGAATGCTGATGAGATTTTAATCGGTATTGCATCGAATCTGTAGATCAGTTTGGGTAGTATAGACATTTTAATGATGTTGAGTCTGCCGATCCTCGAGCATGGTATGGATTTTCATGTGTTTACATCCTCTGCTATTTCCTTCCTCAGTGTTTCATAGTTCTCCCTGTAGAGGTCTTTACGTCCTTGGTTAAGTATATTACTAGGTACTTTAATTTCTTTGTTGCTATTGTGAAGGGAATTGAGTCTTTGATTTGGTTCTCAATTAGATTGTTGTTGGCGTATATGAATGCCTCTGATTTCTGTGTATTGATTTTGTATCCTGAGACTTTACTAAATTTATCAGTTTCCAGGAGTTTCTTGGTTGAATCTTTGGGGTTTTCTAGATATAATATCATATTATCAGCAAACAGTGAAAGTTTGATCTCTTCTGCCCCTATTTGGATACCTTTAATTCCATTTTCCTGTCTGATTGCTGTAGCCAGGACTTCCAGCACTATGTTGAATAGAAGTGGAGATAGTGGGCAGCCTTGTCTGGTTCCAGTTCTAAGTGGGAATACTTTCAATTTTTCCCCTTCAGTATGATTGGCTATGGGTCTGTCAATATGGCTTGTATCATTTTTAGGTATGTCCCTTCTATGCCTATTTTATTAAGTTTTCGTATCATGAAAGGGTGTTGAATTTTGTCAAAAGCTTTTTCTGCATCTATTGAAGAATCACGTGGTCTTTGTTTCTGCTTCTGTTTATGTGGTGAATTCCATTTATAGATTTACGTATGTTGAAACATCCCTGGGATGAAGCCCACTTGGTCGTGATGGATTATTTTTTGATAAGCATCTGGATTCGGTTAGCTAAGATTTTGTTGAAAATTTTTGCATCTATATTCATTAGGGATATTGGTCTGTAGTTTTCTTTTTTTGTTGCATACATTCCTGGTTTTGGTATCAGAGTAATATTCGCTTCATAAAAGGTGTCGAGGAGGTTTCCGTTCTTCTCGATGTTGTGGAATAGTTTCTGCAAGATAGGTACTAGTTCTTCTTTGTAAGTGTGGTAAAATTCGGGTGTGAAACCATCTGGACTGGGACTTTTCTTTTGAGGGAGATGTTTAATTGCTGTTTCTATTTCAGCTCTTGAGATTAGTCTGTTCAAGGAATCTATTTCTTCCTGGTTGAGCCTAGAGAGGCTGTGTGTTTCTAGAAATTTGTCCATTTCCTCCACATTTTCCAGTTTGTGTGCATAAAGATTTTTGTAGTATTCATAAATTATATCTTGTATCTCTTTGGGATCAGTTGTAATATCTCCTTTTTTGTTCCTGATGGAGCATATTAGAGATTTCTCTTTTCTGCTTTTCGGTAGCTTAGCCAATGGCGTGTCAATTTTGTTTATTTTTTCAAAGAACCAACTTTTTGTTTTATTAATCTCCTGAATAGCTTCCCTGTTTTCAATTTCGTTTAGTTCTGATTTGATCTTGTTGATTTCACTTCTCCTGCTGGTTTTGGGATTGGTCTGTTCTTCTTTTTCCAGCTCTTTGAGTCGTTTTGTTAGATTGTCTATTTGTGATCTTTTTGACTTTTGGTTATAGGCATTTATGGAAATAAACTTTCCTCTCAGAACTGCTTTAGCTGTGTCCCAGAGGATTTGATACCTTGTCTCTCCATTGTAATTTTGCTTATAGAATTTTTTTTATTTCCATCTTGATTTCTTCATTTATGAAGTAATCATTTAGTAGGAGGTTGGTTTAATTTCCACGTTTTGTGTAGAAATGAGTTTCTATTAGGGTTGATTTCTACTTTTATTCCACTGTGATCCGAGAAGGCACATGGTAAGATTTCTATTTTTTTATATGTTTTGAGATTTACTTTGTGTCCTAGGATATGGTTAATCTTAGACAATGTCCCGTGAGCTGATGAGAAGAACATATATTCAGTGGATTTGGGGTAGAATGTCCTGTAAATGTCACTCAGACACAATTGTTCCAGAGTTTTGTTTAAGTCCATTATTTCTTTTTTTTTTCCATGTTATTTTAGGTTTTTAAATTTTATTTCAGAATATTATGGGGGTACAAATAATATGGTTACGTGGATTGCTTTTGTACTGCTTGAGACAAAGTTATAAACATACCAGTCTCCTAGATAAGTGTACATTGTACCAGTTAGGTATGATTTCACCCATTTCCCCTTATCCCCCCTGCCACCTGTTTGATTTCCATTGAGCTTCACTTCATATTTGTGCACATGAGGACTCTTTGGTTAGTTCCAATTTAATAGTGAGTAGATGTGGTGTTTCTTTTTACATTCTTGCAATACTTCACTTAGGAGAATGGTCTCCACTTCCATCCAGATTGTTACAAAAGGTATTAATTATTTTGTGTGTGTGACTCAGTAGTACTCCATGGTATACAGACACCACATTTTATTAATCCACTCATGAATTGATGGGCACTTGGGTTGATTCCACATCTTTGCAATTGTGAACTATGCTGCAATAAACATTCTTGTGCAACTGTCTTTTTGACAAAATGACTTTTTTTTTTCCTTTTGGGTAAATACCCAGTAGTGGGATTGCTGGATCAAATGGCTGCTCTACTTTTAGTTCTTTATTTCCATACTGTTTTCCATAGATGTTGTACAAGTTTGCAGTCCTGCCAACAGTGTATAACTGTTCTTTTCTCTCCCCATCCATGCCAGTATCTATTGTTTTGGGATATTTTTATAAAAACCATTCTGACTGGGGTTAGCTAATATCTCATGGTGGTTTTGATTTGTATTTCCCTGATACTTAGTGACGTTGAGCATTTTTTCATATATTTATTGGCCATTTGTCTATATTCTTATGAAAAGCTTCCATTATATTTTTTGCCCCCTTTTTAATGGGGTTGTTTGATTTTTTTCCTTTCTGATTTGCTTGAGTTCTTTGTAGATTCTGGTTATTAGCCCTCTATCAGATGTACAATATGCAAATATTTTCTCCCATTCTGTAGGTTATCTATTAGAAGCCTTTTAATTTTAAAAGTCCTATTTATTTATTTTTGATGTTGCTGTGATTGCCGTTGGGGTCTTTGAAAATGTTGAGAAAATGGACAAATTCTTGGAGAAACACAACCTCCTGAGCCTCAATCAGGAAGAAACAGAACTCCTGAACAGATGAATATCAAGCAATGAAATTGAAGCAGCAATAAAAAGTCTTGCAACACAGAAAGTCCTGTGCTACACTTTCAGTGCGGTTGGGGGAAGAATCCTAGGATTGTCGCTGTGGAATGGACTCTTGCGCTCCTCCAAGCCATTCCCAAACAGGGAGCCTCCCCAGTTCTGGGCTTGTCTCCTGCGAAGCCGCCGCGCAGACCTGCCCTCTGCTGGGCGTCGGAGCGCAGTGCCGAGCGCCGCGGGCCCACGTTGCCAGAAATGGCAAGAAGTCTCTTGAAGACATGGACCATCTCTGTGTGTAAGGACAAAATTGCTAAATCAAGTGGGATTGTCACTATATAATACATCCCATGGCTTCCATGAGGAAGAAGTGAAAAAAAAAAACTTCAGCAGTTTCCTGGTGGATCCATTGACCTTCAGAAGAAAGACAATGGCATTGGCATTCTTACTCTGAACAATCCAAGTAAAAAGAATGCCTTCTCAGGTGTTATGATGCTGCAACTTCTGGAAAAAGTGATTGAATTAGAAAATTGGACAGAGGGGAAAGGCGTTATTGTCCGAGGGGCAAAAAATACTTTCTGTTCAGGATCTGATCTGAATGCAGTGAAAGGACTGGGAACTTCAGAGGATGGACTGGCCTTATGTATGTTCATGCAGAATACCTTAACAAGATTTCTGAGACTTCCTTTAATAAGTGTTGCACTGGTTCAAGGTCGGGCATTGGGTGGAGGAGCAGAACTTACTACAGCATGTGATTTCAGGTTAATGACACCAGAGAGTGAGATCAGATTTGTCCATAAGGAGATGGGTATAATACCAAGCTGGGGTGGCACTACCCGGCTGGTTGAAATAATTGGCAGTAGACAAGCTCTCAAAGTGTTGAGTGGGGCCCTCAAACTGGATTCAAGAAAAGCTCTAAACATAGGAATGGTCGAAGATGTCTTGCAATCTTCAGATGAAACTAAATCTCTAGAAGAGGCTCAAGAGTGGCTACAGCAATTGGTCCAAGGGCCACCAGAAGTAATTAGAGCTTTGAAAAAAATCTGTTTGTTCAGGCAAAGAGCTATATTTAGAGGAGGCATTACAGAATGAAAGAGATCTTTTAGGAGCACTTTGGGGTGGACCTATAAATTTAGAGGCTGTTGCTAAGAAAGGAAAATTTAATAAATAGTTTTTTAAAAATGTGGACAATCTATAAAGCTCCAATGATACGTATTAGAGTTAAATGATATTAAATGTGAACATTAGAATTACTTTGAAGGCTATTACTAATATTCTAATTTGTTTTTAATATTTTACATTTTCTTCTAAAATTTTTATGGTTTCATGTCTTAGGTTTAAGTCTGCTATTGATCTTGAATTAATTTTAGTGAGTGGTGAAAGATAAGGATCCTCTTTCAATCTTCCACAAGTGCCTATACAATTCTCCCAGTACCAAATATTGAATAGGGATTATTTTCCCCAGTGTATATTGTTGTCTGCTTTGTCAAAGATCAGAAGGCAATATGTGGATGGTTTTATATTTGGGTTCTCTGGTCTGTTCATTGGTCTATGTCTCTATTTTTGTGCCAGTCAGAGACTGTTTTGGTTACCATAGCTTTGTAGTATTTATAGCTTAAAGTCTGGTAGAGTGAGGCCTCCAGGTTAGTTCCTTTTGCTTAAGTTTGTTTTGGCTATTCAGGCTCTTTTCTTGTTCCAAATGAAGCATAGAATTATTTTTTCTAGATCTGCAAAAATGATGTTGTTGGTTAATTTTGATGGGGAATGCATTGGAATGTGTAAATCATTTTGTATGAACATTTTAATGATGTTGATTCTGCCAATCCATGAGCATGTGTTTTTCCATTTATTTACATCCTCTGTGATTTCCTTTCTCAAGTGATTCTTAATTCCCCTTGTAGAGGTCTTTCATCTTCTGGTTAAAATATATTCCTAGATATTTTATTTCTTTGTTGCTATTATGCAAGGTATCTTGTTTCTTTTATTCGATGTGATTTTCAACTTAATTGTTGTTGGTGTATAGAAATGCTACTGAA